AGTAGAATCATGCATACAGCAATTATTATGGAATAAGATGATTCAGGACACCATATGGGACCTGTATGCTTCAGTGCCTGTGGATGTCACGATCACATCTGCAATCATTTGGGATGGCAAGTCAGACAGCTTTGGAGCTTGGTTGAACTAGAAGCATGCTTACAGCAACTACGGAATGAGATGACGCAAAAAACCATACAAGACCCCGTATGCCTCGGTACCTGTCTGTATCACATTGTATATTTAGACTAAAGTACTTATTCCCAACTTAATATTAGAATCTCTGATCATTTGTAATTTTCCCTATGATAATGATTCTTTTGCTTTTATTTTGTAATCATTTACTTATATCAATACTGCATTCACGTACATAAAAATTTCTTTCAATTTTGACAGTGTTTTCTTGGTGCTTTATGAAAACGGGGGCACATAATAAATTTAAACAACTGCACTCAAATTTTCTTGCATAAAACTTTAAATTAAGCACAGTTTTTATATGCAAAATATTTATTCAAATACAAACTTTAAATTATGGTTTACACAGCACAAAGCAAATGATAGTATTTTGGAAGAGCATATATACATACGCCCAGGGCAGTTAACACATCGGCTGAGCAAGGCGTATATATATGCCCACGGCAGTTAAGGGGTTAACTGTCATATAGATTCACCGTCATTTTCTATTCTTTTTCCGTGTCCTAGTTTTAGTAATATGTGGCGTGTTGTTATCATAACCCCTCAGCAACACTAATGTCATCACCATTATCATCGTCCTCCTCTGATTCAGCTTGACACTGCCAAGATTTCAATTGGCTCACATGAGCTGTCGTACTTCTTTAGTACGACAGCTCATTTCACCTTCTCTTGTAATCGAGTTACTCTATAGGTATCTCTTGGTAAAACTTCTGTACCTACCAAAGGTTCTCGATATTTTGTTTGTGTTTTGGTTGATTCTCCAGTTGATTTAGGTACTCTCTCCTAATAACTACTATTTCTCCTCGTTCGAATGTTAAAGAATTGCTTTTCTTCTTGTCATAATTTGCTTTTCATTTTCATCTGCATATCTTCATAGCTTCTTCTGTAAGATTACTTCTCAGTCATCTCATCTCTAATCATTTCAAGATTTTGGTGAATAACCGTGAAGCATTTCGAAAGGAGTTTTATTTGTAGTCTTTTTATCATATTGTTTAATTTCTTTCGCACTCCTTATCTTTTTGTCTCAGTCCTCTGATTTGGATTTTCCATACTCATTTTAATCGTAGCCAAAATTGTTGATTTGCTCTTTCCACCATTCCATTACCACTGGATGTTAGTTAAATTGAGCGTATACTGATTCATTATTTTGACAGTACTTGAAATTCCTTCGCTGTGAAACATGTTCCTCTATCGCTGATAATTTTTTCTGGTAACCCAAAATCATCTACAAACTCTTCAATGCACTAACATACTTGGTTGCAGTACTTTCATAGGATATAAGCGTGTAAATATCGTAAAATTATCATTATTACAAATTTCTGTATTTCCTCTTGAATTTTTACGAATGGTCTAAATGATCTATATGAATGATTGCAAAAGGTCTTCTACCTGGTCTAACTGGATGCAGTACCTTGTTTCTTACCACTAGGCTTTTATTTACTAGGCATTCGAAACACATCGAAATGTGACGCATAACATATTGTTTCATTCCTTTAAACCAGTATGATTCCTGATTTTGGCAACAGTTTTCTGCTGAAAAATGTCCCAAAAGATGTGAAATTTTACTACAACCTTTTCTATCATTTAGGTATGACATATACAATTTCTCCTTTTCCTGATCTTTACTTTACGAAACAATCGATTATTCTTCAGACATAATTTTCATTTACATATTTCTCTGCATCGTTTATCATTTATCTTTTTTAAATGTCTATTAATTTGGAATTCTGGATCTGAATGCTGAATCATAAAATTTGTTCATCTATCATTAGGTAAAAAAACTTCCAAGTTGTTTTCAATTATAAGTCTTTTGCTTCCTTTGGTTCTTCTTACCAGCTCCTCTTCCTTACTTTTATCATCAGATTCTTTGTTTCTTCACTTTCATCATCATTTCCCATCATCTTTTGCCATTTCAATACACTTCACTGCATTACCATCTCTCCTCCCTTTATCTTTGGAAGAATCGGATATATCTTTCATTTCCACATCCTGATCCTTTGACTTGCTTTCTTAGCAGCTAGTTCCTTTTTTATAGCTTCTTTAGCAGCAAGTTCAACTGCAGTTATCTCAGCAGCAAGTTCTGCAGCTTCAGCAGCCTCCATATCTTGTTTGTCCTGTTCTTCAGCAAGTTTCTGTCTTTCTTCTTCTTGTTCAATAGCTTCAGCCATTGCTTTCTTAAATTCTTCCTATGCATTATGCAATGACAATGTTTTGACTTAGCGACTGTAGCATCTTTAAAGAACTTGTGACAAAGCTTATAATAATAACCCTGGACAAATATAACAAATAACTGGCCCAATAGACTTAGGTTCTTTAGTTTTTTTTTTTTTTGGGGGGGGGGGTTCTTTCTTCTCTTCCTTATCCTTTTCTTTCTCTCTAGATTCATCTTTAGCATCTTCTTTTTCTTTAGCACAATCTTCTTGAGTAGCATCTTCAGTCTTATCTTTCATGAAATTAACTGTATTACCTTCGATTTCAATTTCTTAGGAAGCCTTCAGTTTAATTCGTGGAGTGTTAATATCATTTTGCAACTGTGAAAATGGACAATCATTAGCATAGCATATGTGCAAGGTATTACCTATCTTGGTATATGCAATATGTGGTAAATCAATCCATGTTCGACCAACTAATAAGTCACATGGTTGTGTTTCATCTCCAATTAGAACTGTAATGTCCTTTCATTCCACATTATCAATCTCTAAATTAAAAGTTACTTTTCCCAATGTTCTAGTGGCTGGTTTACTCTGGATTCCAAAGCCAAACAATTCCTCCACATCAGGTTTTATAGTAAGATCCAGTTTCCCAGCCAGAGACTGTTTCAATAGACACGAACTAGAACCTGCCATCTATGATTGCAGTAATTTCTTCTCCATTATTGATGCGAGCATACTTTAAATACACAGTTGGTGAAACATCTAAATTCTGGTTCACGGAAATTTCAAGTCTGAACTCTTAGACGTACACTTTTTAAAAGTATGACCCTTTTCATTACATTTCCTGCAAATAATTTTTTTTTAGGTTGAGGATAATCCGTCGCTACATGTCCATAATCATTATAATTAAAGCATTTCGGCTCAACCTTTTCATTGTGAATACCAGAATTATATTCCCTTTTCCTATCGTCTATTTTAAAAAATTTATCTCTCAAATTATATTTATTATCAAAACTGTTTTTAAAACCCACTTTGAAATTACCATCTGTCTGCATAAAATCATTAACATTTCTGAGTCTTGAATACTGATTATAGGATCCTTCATAAAATTTAGAACCAAATTTAGGCTTAGGATTATGCTTAAAAGTTTTATTTTCTACTTGAAGTACTTTTATTCCTGCCCGAATATTTTCATATTCAACTAGTTTTTCAGCCACCTCTTCAGGATTAATGAATTTAGACCGATCATCAACGAAATGATCTCGTATAGCAGCAGGGACCCTATTTTCTTTAACTGATCCGTAATAATAAGCTGTTTTAAAGAGTCAAAATCTGTTACATTTAATCCAGCAAGCCACTCTTCAAAACATTTTTTTAATTCAAACATGAAATCTCTTCACGTATTACGTAATGTTTTAATATGATCAACGGACTTTTGCCGAAACTGTTCAGGGCTTAACTTAAATTTTCTGAATAGCAGTTATTTAACACGCTTATAGTCGTTAGTGTTTTCTTCTGATTCACGGGCAAGTAATTGAGTTCTTTCATAAGACAATAGAACCAACAGCTGAGAAACCCAATTTTGTTCTAACCCAATATGTCGTGTCTATCTCTCAAATAAGACAATCATACATATGCATTAATTTACTCATATCACAAATATTACTTCTACTAACATTAGAAGGAACAGAATCATTTACATTACTACTTCTGATTTCCGCTTCTATTTTCTGTCTTTCAAGTTCAAATGTTCTTTGCCTATCTTTTATAGCCTTTTTTTTTTCTAAAATTTCTAACTTTTCCCTGTCTAAACGATCATTTATAAATCTATCTATCTTTTGTTTAGTAAAGTCTTCATTATAGTTCTTACTATTCATAATCATATCCCTTAAGTCTACAATTTTAATACCAGAAGGGACATCTGCATCAAGTTTTAAAGCAAGTTCTTTTAAGTCACATTTCTGGCCCCTTGCCAAATAAGCCATCTTAGACTTCAATTTCCAAATAATAATACAATAATTATACTTAAGTTCTTTCTGTTTAATACTTAAACATAACATAAACAGTTTATAAATGCATGTACCTTTCTACCTTCAGTTTTGGCGAGCTTGCGCATTCAGTTTAGCTTAACGTACATTAAGGCAATGTATTGTTAAATCCTAGGTAATAATTCTAGATAATCCCACTTCTGAAATGTTAGTAATTATTTCCCTTATTCAAAAACATTTCCGTCAAACATTAATTGTTAGATACTCGCTTTATTCAGAAACATTGCCGTCAAACATAAATGTTCTAAAAAAAAAAAAAAAAACTGTTGTTGCCAATCGGCAAAATACATTTAAGAAAAAAACATTTACATAACCATATCTCATTTACAATGATTGTTCATTTTATTTATTGAAGCATATTACTATATACATCAGTGAAATTCTACGAAGAAGAGCAAGGAATTTTAATAAAACAAAACAATAGAGTGGTATAATTACCTCCAAGAAGTGTGCAAACTTTCTATTAAAAAAAAAAGAATTATGCAACAATGGATGCATTGTTGAAATAGAGATGGATACGCAAGCAAATATTTCTCTTCACCAAAATGTTTGCAACTTTTTAACGGGAGGTTCAGATAAATAGAAAGTACACGTTAAAGTAGCAAGATATTAAAATTCAACTAAAAAGAATTTAACATTAAAGCACAGAAAACTGTTTTTGAACTTTCCTAAACACAAAATTGCACAAAAAACATTGAGATATTTGTTTGAGAACAATCAAAGAGAAGACATTTATAACGAATCTTGCATTATATATATCACTAAAAGAGCTTGATCAAAATCTTTAGACCATCAGATTTTACTTTTAACATAATAGATATTCGAGCACGCAAAAAAAGTAAAGTCTGCAGTCGATTTACGATAAGATGTTAGAGTTCATATAGAAAACTATTTTGGTTATTACACTCATAATATAACATTTGTTGCAAAATGTTGTTAAGAAGTCCAGACAAAATGACTTTTTAAATGATCATTCTGATGCTGTATTCAATTGCACACTTTTATAATACTGAAAGTGTGCTATTGAATATATTTTTAGAATATTGAAAGTAAATGAAGAATCTTATTGTCAATTAAAAAAATACATAAACTGGTTGTGATTTTATTAAATATGAAAATAATCCTCATTGAAGACTCTGAGGTAATAATTATTTCTGATTATTTGATTATTACAACACACACACACACACACACACAACACAAAAAAAAAAAAAAAAAAAAAAAAAAAAAAAGCTGAAGAATTTTACTAGCATTTAAACATACAACAAAATTTTACAATGCAAATAAATAGTTCATCAGAATTAATTTATCTTTTAAACCTCTAGTGAAAAATTAGTTTCAATACTTTCTGATCTTCTTTTGGCATGTTTCAATCTCTTTATCAAAATAATAATAACATAACAATCATGTAAGCTTTTGAAAATATAATAAGTGCAATTAACTTACCAGTCAGACATATATAACAATCTAGAGACAGATATGCCTGCAGTTCATCTGTTTTACCCGAAAAAGAATGTACCACAATTTGAGGAAGCTTGGTGATATTATTTCTTAAAATCTGGATTACATCACTGTTGGCTTCCTTTTCATAAATCATAAGAGGCATTTTCAGTTCAGATGCTAATTCTAACTGTAAAGAAAGGAATAGCTATGGTTACAATTTAAAATGAACTGTGCAATTGTAGCAAAAAATATGTTAACACAAAAGAGTTCAATATTAATTTATTATCCCAACTCCCATTTTCAGAGGAAAAATTTTTTTCACGATTTCTTCACTGATATTTTGGTAACCCCACCAAAACAGTTCAAAAATTTGGTTTCTATCTGCAGTAAATTCCATAAGCTACACTTACTTATCATTTAAATCTTTAGCTGCTAAAGTGAAACTGATGTAAGTGAAACTGATGCACTGATAGACCAAAAGAAAAGATGCAAATGATTGTAGCCATCCAATGTAATTTATACAGACATACATACATTCGGCCCACCAGCGGCTGAGCGGTAAAGTCACTGAACACTGGTAGTTCGATCCGAGGTTCGAATCTCGCGAACGGGCTGGCTGCATGGGTGTTTTCGTGGTTTTTCCCATGTGTAACGTATATACGAGCCAGTTTCCCTTAGAAAGTCCTCCACAAAGGCATCCCTCCCCTTAGGCAGATAGCCCTAGTGTGCTTTGCCATAATTAAATACACACATACATACATTCACCTCCCTCCAAAAAAGTATATATATAGGAAACAGATATAGTTACCAAAATTGTCACTGGTAACATTTTACCATCAAAAGAAAAAAAAAAAAAAAAAAAAAAAAAGACTGCTACGATAACTGATAAGTATTCATTTTTTTAATGGGAAAAAGTATGATAGAGGTTTTAGTACTCTCTGATTATCTACACCCCCCTTGCCGAGAAGTCATAAAAAAGTATTCCTGAGGCAAAGCAACATGTTGCCAAAATAGCTCTGTGGTAACCCACAATGTCACCAAAAAGTATTTATGTGAGAACTCAGGTATGCACATAGCTATTGTATGTTGAGGCCAGTGCCTAATGCTAAACTGAACGATGCTGAGTTTTGTGTAATTTTCTGACTTTTGTTTACATTAAAACAGATTGGTGTGCACATGAAAAGAATGGCAGCACAAGAACGAAACGATTTCTTGAAAAAGGTAAGTGTTTTATAATAGATGTTTCCTGCTTTTTAAATTTTTATTCATTGATTGCTCCTGTATGGAATTCTTATCAGGCTGCCATTTTGAAAATCTAATAAAAATTTAGTCACCAACGAGTTTGTGAATACTCTCTCAAGCCACCAAGAGTTCACAACTGTTTGGATGGCAGTGCAGATAATCATAAAGTGCCCAGATTTTTAATGAAGAAAAAGTAGATATACTTTCACTAAACATTTATCTACAGTTGTACCTTAACAGCTAATTTAAGTCTACAAGCTGCAATATGCTATGTTTAGTATATTTTCAGGAATGTCTTGTAATAAACAATACTGAATTAAGACACAATAACACGCCGAATAAATACTAATTCAGACGACAAACAACAAAAATCAGCATTATATTTACAAAATTTTCACAGGACTAGTTTCGATGGTTTTATCGAACCCCATCCTCAGCTGCAAAACGCAAATGAACAAGATAGGAAAAAATGATTAGATAAGATAAGAAGCCTGGACAAGAATAAGCAAGTGGTGCCATCTGTGTGAAACCAGAATAAAACATTTAATGTCTTTAAAGGCCGAAGGCAAATTGGATTGGAATTAGAAATCGTAACTAGAAGAAAGATTTTTATAAATGTGAAATGTCTCTAGAAAATCCAGTTCTCCAATGGAAGATGTTTTTTGAATAATTTTGGCAGCAGAAAAATTGAAAGTGTGATTTTCGGATCAACAATGTTGCGCAACAGAAGACTTCTGTGTTTCCTTTTTTCTAACATATGCTATAATAATATGTGCATTTTTCAAATCAGATAATGGTGGTTCAGTGAGTTCACTAATTTTAACACTTTTACGTTTTTAACAATATTTTAATTACTATATACAGATCGTATTCTTAGGCCGACGCCTTCAACATGAACAAACTTTATTCTCTTACAACTAAGCGAGCAACAGCGCCCTCTAGCCTTTTCCTTCAAATTACACAACACTCCCACCTGAACTCGGTGGAGAGTTCATCTTTCAATAATAAATCCTCAGAATATTCAATTAATTTTCGACAATAAATCCTGGAGAAATGGTTAAATATAACAACAGCATACATAATTATAGCCATAAAATTTTACAAAACATAAATGATACCTATCAGCAAGGTCAGGAAAATCAAACCTAAAAATACAAAATACAAACATTAGTTAAGTTCCATATTATATAACAATTGTATAGGCCTTTTAAGGTACCAGTAGGTGTTTTAATTATGCAAGATCTTATTTTACCATCTCTGCCTGGCATTAATTCCAAATTTTACCTATGTCCAGAGATTTCTGGGTGTTTGTCGTCATGAATCAAGACAATATCGTTGATTTTAAACTGAGATGCGTTAGAGGTGGAGGACAAATATTGGCAATCTCAGATTTAAAAAAGATACTCTGATCTCTAATGCTTCCAAAAATAATTTAACATATCTTGATGGTATTTTTATCGTTTAATAATTGAATTTCTTGATCCAATCAAATTATTTGAAGTATTTTATTAGCAGGCAGAGATAGCAATCGTCTACCAACCAGAAAATGAGAGGGTGTTAGTGGAGAAGGTTCACTGGGATCGGTAAACACGTAGGTAATTGGTCTACAATTAATCATTCGCCTCGATTTCAATGAGCACTCGATTTCAAGCTCGTTAGCTCTTTCACGGTAAGGAATGATCAGACCAATAATTTTCGCTTAAACTGGATTTTATCGTTCGTACCATACGCTCCCAAAACCCTCCCCACCATGGACCCCTTTCAATTATAAATTTCCAAATTATGCTTTCAGCAGAAAATAATTCTTCTGGAAGCATAATTTGGAAATTTCTCAAAGTTTTGAAAATATGTTTTAGTTCTTTATCTGCTATTTTAAAAGTCTTGGACATTATCGGAGTAAATGATGGTACACAGTCCTCGGCGAGCTAAAAATCTTCGGAAAGCTAGCAAAAAACTTTCAGTGCTGAGATCAGTTACTATCTCTATATGTAAGACACGAGTGACCGCACACGTTAACAGCAGCATGTAAACTTTACCTTGCCTGTCTTTCGTAAAAACTGGACCGGCGAAGTCCAACCCGGTCACAGCAAATGGAGGCGACTCTTGGATTCTGTCTGGAGGAAGTGGAGCGATATCCTGTATTTCTGTAACACGATTGGTGATAAATGGTTTCCAATTATTTGGCGAACCTTTAATCCAAGTAATGGCGATTTCGGAATCACTCCAAAAATAAACATCCTCAATTAAATCACCAAACAATTTTTCAAATATTTTACATCGAGCAGCCACGAGTGCTCCCATTAACTCTAAATGAGGAAGCGTGATGATCTTAAAGGTGAACCCTGCATTTTGACATGATAAAGGAAGTTTTAATTTTAGAATCACTCGTACAATATCTGAAATATGCGATAGCCCCTTATGCTTAGGAATAGCGTCCGAAAAATAGGTGAAGGCTTATATTCATCGGATCGTCATCAAGAAATTTCCTGTATCAATATTTCAGTTAAATCATAAGTCCTCCTGCCAAATGTTGAATTGTCCTTAATCTCTGCAGGAAGGATTCATCCAGTCAGACCGGAACACCAGATTCTTGCATAATAATTTTTGCCCGAATAACAAAGGGTGCAATAAATCCAAATGGATCGTTATTTGGCGATACTTTGCAAAAGTTTCCTTTTTGTAGCAAATTGTTTCAGTGGAAAAGTCAATAATTTTTAAATTTAAATTTAATTGTCTTCAATGGAATTCCAAATCATGCCTAGAAATTCGATCACCAGTTAATTTGTTATCTGTTCCTTAATCATTTGAGACCCATAAATCATTTAATGCTTTAGAATTAGTACTTAATTTTCTGAAATTCATCCCAGCATCCTTTAAATATGTTAACCATATCTACAGATAACCGATATGCACCTTCAAATGTTTCTGCTCTGAAATACAGGTCTTTGACATAGATAGAAGAATTTAACATTCAAAACTGTCCGGCATTTTATCTTTATATTTCCAAATATGATATTTTATGGCAGCAGCCAAAATGAAAGGTGATATAATCAAACTGAAGGTACGTGACACATGTGCATAATCTTAAAAGAGTCATATTTTAAAGAAATTTTAAAGAAATTTTCGCAATTGTCTATCACCTTCAGCAATTCCTATCATCAAAAATGCCTTTTCAATGTCTCCACAAAATGCTATCTTAAACTTACGAAAATTTAACATAATGTCTAGTATATTGGGATTTAGATTAGGTCCCGATTCAAGTTTGTCATTTGATGAATTCATGTTCTGTGTTCTTGTGCTAGCGTTGTACACAATTCTTACATTAGTGGTTGCACCAGATCGTATAACTGCTCAGTGTGGCATAAGATATCCTGAATTTGTATCATTATTCAGACATTCGTGTACAATTCCTTCTAATATCTGGTTTTTAATTATTTTTTTATATTCCTGAAAAATCTCCTGAGTTTTACTTAATTTATTTTGAAGGTTCACAAATCATTTCTTTGCTACCTTAAAATTATTTTCCCAGATTATTCGGACTGTATTTCCAGATTAAATTTTCTGCATATCTACCATTTTTAGACTGCAAATTTCTTTCAAACTGGTCTATTTTTTCACAGTCAATATCGGAATAATAATCAGAATCATTAATTCCCCAAAACTCTTAAATCCTTCAATACAACAGTGTTTGTCATTACCGCTAAATTTCAAACATTTTTGTTGTTATTTTTCCGATTACTCGGCAACCCAACCAACACAGAATACGAGTAAACCTTAGATTTTAATCTTCAGAATTCAATAATTCGAGAATAAGCCCCCATTAATATCTCAACATCTATGTTATTTTTCTGGCAATCGGCGATCTCACCCATGCTCCATGAAGTTGCATTGTTACTAGGCACACTGATGGGCCGTGGGGGTTAAATCGAAGATCAACTTCAATGT